AAGCCTGCAGCAAAAGTTGTTTTTCATTTAATCTGTAACCAGAAGATTTTTTTTCTCTGCAACAGGAATCATGACTCAAGGAATACAAAAGCAGAAAGAAAGGAAGTTGGGCCTAAGTGGCCCACTATCATGTAATTGTCATATCAGGGATAAATTCAAGCCCACCAATAACCATTATCTCAATTATTTCCCTCTCACCTTGTATCTGTAGTGTCTCTCTCTCTCTCTTTTTTCTTTTTGGGTCACACATGATTACTCCTGGCTCTGCACTCATAAATCAATTCTGGTGGTGTTCAGGGGGCACATGGGATGCCGGGGATCGAACCCTGTGTCAGCTGCATACAAGGCAAATGCCCTACCTGCTGTACTATGGCTCTGCCCCTGTAATGTCTCTTTTTTTAAAAAAAATTTGCTCACATCCGGCGATGCACAGGGGTCACTCCTGGCTCTACACTCAGGAATTACCCCCTGGTGGTGCTCAGGGGACCATATAGGATGCTGGGAATCGAACCTGGGTAGGCCACGTGCAAGGCAAAAGCCCTACCCGCTTTGCTATCGCTCCAGTTCAGTGTCTCTTTTAACCTTTGCATTTAAAGAAGCCAAGCAAGAAGTATTTATATTTCTCTTATCAGGTATAGTTAGGATTTTCTCTCAGAGTTTTACTGTCTATTTGCAGTTCTTGTATATGTATTTCTTTTTCCTTGTTCTAGCTTCACTACAACATTCTCTTAATCTACACTGTCACTGTTACTGTCCTCCCGTTGTTCATCATTTTCTCGAGCAGGCCCAGTAACGTCTCCATTGGAGATTTTGTTGTTACTGTGTTTGGCATATCGAATACGTCACGGGGAGCTTGCCAGGCTCTGCCGTGCGGGCGAGATACTCTCGGTAGCTTGCCGGGCTCTCCCAGAGGGGCAGAGGAATTGAACTCGGGTCAGCCATGTTGGCTGCGTGCAAGGCAAACGCCCTACCGCTGTGCTATCGCTCCAGCCCTCTTAACCCACAACATCCCTAAAATTTTATTATACACCACCCAGTCCCAGACCCCTACCTTAATTTAAATGACCAGAAAACTATATCAGGAAAAGAGGTTGGGACTGGAAAAGAACTTTTGCTTTCCTCTGTGTACTTTTATGTTCAAAGTTTAAAATTTTAAATGCCTTGTTTTTGCATCACAGATATACAATACTTATATTTAAGGTGAGGAGGAATAGGTAAATATTGCTAAGGAAGGTAGGCCAATTAGAGTGAAAATTTTAAATCTACAATGTTCAGTCTATAGCCTACTTTCAGCATGCATGTCGCATCCCAAGAGAGTCCTCCAAACATCCTTTACTTGGTGTTCCCTCTCTATCTGAGCTGCCTTTCCCCCCAGCATATGCTGCCAGCTTCCAAGCTGTGGAGCAGACCTCCTGGCACTTATCTCAACTTTTCTTGAGTGTTCGTCTCCCATTCTATTACTTTATATTCTCCAGATGAGTGCAGACAGACCTGTAGACAACATTTCCCATTTCAGGACATTCAAAGAATTTCTAAAACCATTTACATCGAGCTGGAGAAAAGCAGTTGTCATTAAGGATGTTTCTGTTTTCCTAGGGCTGGAGTGATAGCACAACGGTAGGGCGTTTGCCTTGCACGCAGCCAACATGGCCGATCCGAGTTTGATTCCTCCGCCCCTCTCGGAGAGCCCGGCAAGCTACCGAGAGTATCTCGCCCGCACGGCAGAGCCTGGCAAGCTCCCCGTGACGTATTCGATATGCCAAACACAGTAACAACAAAATCTCCAATGGAGACATTACTGGGCCTGCTCGAGCAAATCGATGAACAACGGGAGGGCCTTTACCTTTACTTTTACCTGTTTTCCTAAGGATAATTCAGTACAGGAAGAGTATTCATGGGGCCGTACGGATGTACAGCATTAGGACACTTGCTTTGCACTCAGCTGACCTGGGTTCAATCCCTGGCACAGCATATGAGCCCATCATGAGTGAATCCCGAGCGCAGAGCCAGGAGGAAGCCCTGAACACCACTGGATGTGACCCAGAAACAAAAGAAAAAGAGAGAGCATATACTAAGTGTTACACAGTCAGTTCTAGTTTTGGCACAAGGACTAACACTCCTGGATTTCACACTAGTGTTCTTTCCAACAGACCCAAATCATTGTGTTTTTAAAATATATATTTATTGAGGCACCATGCACATAAAAAAGTTGTTTCAGGCAGGCAATGTTCTAACACCAGTCCCATCACCAGTTTGATCTTCCCTTCAACAATGTTCCCAGGTTCCCTCCCACCTCCAACACCACATCCCCCTCCTGCCCCCTTGGAAGGCACATGACATGTTTATTTCATACTGCTTTCTCAAACAAAAATGAAAGGAATGGCATATGAAATTATCAGAAAATTCACAATCACGATCATCCTGTTGTTCATCGATTGCCTCGAGCAGGCACCAGTAACGTCTCCATCGTCCTAGCCCTGGGATTTTAAAAAGTGCCATATTCAAGGCACTTTCAGGGTTAGGAGAATGAGACCCATCATTGTTACTGGTATTTGGCATATTGGGTACACCACGGAGAGTTTGCCAGACTCTGTCATGTGGGCAGTTTACATTCAGTAGCCTGTTAGGTTGTCCAAAGAATAAGATAAGATAATAAGATGTCATTCACAGCCGCGCACTTCCAGGAGCTGGGTTTTATAGTCTCTGGGTCTTGGCCGTTGATGGGATTACACGGCTCCAGGGGGCCAATTGGTGGGTGTGACCCCTGCCTACTGGAAGATGAGGGATCTGGGTGGAGGATGCTCAGCCCCGATCCGAGCAGGCTTGGAGATCTCAGCCCAGGGACCTGCATGCCTTTGTTCCTCTGCCGGTACCTTCATGTGTGTGGAGAGTGGTCTCAGCATGGTTGTGGCTGGTTCTGGAGGTCTTCGGCTGCCAGAGCTCTGCTCGGGGCAGGGAGGGAAACTCAACCCACCCCCTGCAAGGGGCCCCAGCAAGGACAGACAGGCGCGGGGGCAGGAGACTCTGTCACCAGAAAATTAATAAAACTCTGCCATCAGAAAATTAATAAAAGTCAATTTGATTTGCTGTTATTTTTGTTTGGGGCCCACATGGAGTGGTGCTCAGGGCTTACTCCTGGCTCTGCACTCAGAGATCGATCCTGGTGAGACTGGGTGTGGAATATGGGACATTGGGGGTTGAACTAGGGTCAACCGCTTACAATTCAATAAAAGTCAATTGGTGATAATTGATTGCTAAATGAATTTAACCTATGTAAATAAATAAATTAAAATCAATACAATTCAAGGCCTATTCTCATTGACTTAAATAAGTTTTCAATGATGGCATCTAAAATATATTGATTTTTATTTTGTACTTGTATCTCATTGTGGTAAATATCATAACTTGCATGTCATTAATAAAACTTTTTGAATTTCTGTGCTAAGATATTTAGAGTCTACATAAAATAAATAAGACATACAAATGCAAAATTTAGTAAGAGTTTAGAAAATTAAAAATATTTACAGGAGGAAATCTGAATGGGCCTGTAAAAGTACAAAATGTTTTGCCCTAAGAAAGAGAATATTGGTTTTATATTAGAAATATTATATTATAGGTACTGCATAAGTGTCTGCATAAATAAATAAAAATTGCAATAAAATCTTTATGGGCAAAAAAACTGATCAGATATAGAATATTCAATATAAATGAGATTTTAATTTGTTACTGAAAATATATAAAATCTTTTGGCAAACTAGGAATTACATAACTGTTCTCTGATATAGTAGAGAGACCCAAATCATTGTATCTTGGTTTTTCTAGTCCTCGAACCTACCCACACTAAGTGTTTTATTTTTCCACATAATCCCTTGAGCTCTTTATTCTGCTTCACAAAAAGAGGCACAAAAATGTACACAAAACAAAAATACATGTTTATGTACTTTTAAATTAATTTTCAAATGCTCCCATAATTATTATTGGTAATTTTACTGCTTTTACCAAAGACTTGAAGTTGAAAGGTAACCAACATCTGTTGAATATTTTCTATGAATCAAGTATTATCATATTAGAATCCCTAGTAGTAAAATGTATGTGATTTTTCCGTTTTTTAAGTGAGGTAACTGGAGCTCACAAAGTGTATCTCCTAATTTGTGGTTCTGCAGGCAGCAATGCCTCCAGCTAGTATCACCCACCACTAGTAGTACGGAGTCAAACATTGCTCTTTTTCCCCATTTTTAATCCTTTTCTCAAATGAAATCCTAATTGTACCAAAGTAGGTACACTTAAAAAAACACCAGGTGCTATTTTCAGCACTATACATTTACTAATTATAACTAAATTGTCATCTCACTGAACCACAGGTATAAATCCATCACTACTAGAGTAGTTTTGTCTTTGTCTTTTCCAACAATAAAATACATATTTCTGTGTGGGTAGGAAGAATAGGAAAGTATTAAGAAAATAGTAAAATATTGCATTCAGAAAGCTCACTTTTGCCCAAGGTTCCTACACTAAGCTCCCCACTCCCCCGCCCCCCAACCTGTTGTCAAACCAGTGCGGCTCCATGACAACCGAAGACTAAATTGCAGAGGAAATGGAGATTGGGGGAAGGGCGATGAATGGTTGTTCGTAATTCTGGCAGCTGAACGCAGGGAGACACAATTCTCCAAAGAAACAGAAAAGCTCAGTAGCTCCAGAAAAAGAAGCATCCCCGCCTCACATAATTAGAGAATGGCAACTAAAATTTTCCCTCTGCGATTGGCAACAACAACAATAAAGACTGACAAGGCCGAATGTTTAAGGGGCTTCTGGCGTTAAAAGCAGTGGGTGGAGGGGAAGATGGGAGGCGGGTCGTGCTGAAGGCGGGCGGCTGATGCTGGGCTTTTCTTGGGAGTGGAAATTGTGGACCGGAGCTCGCTGGTGACGTATATCTCACGTGACCAGGAGTCGACGTGTGCAGAAGTCCTGCTAAGTCCGGTCCTTGTTCCCGTCCGTGTATCACAGCCCTTCAGCAGTGTGGGCGGCGGTTCCTGGGACCTGATTAAGGAGTCAAATTGCCTCAACTTTTCAGGTCAGTGTCAAAATAAATGCTGCCTGGAGACTACAAAGGTGGCCTGAGGGGGAGGGGGGGAGGCCTGGGACAGAATTGAGGGAGCTCTGGTCAAGTCTACATTTCTAACTCCCGCTCCCGGTCTGCAGGATCCATGGGAAAGGGACCAGTAAAGTAGTCCCAGAGGAAGGATAAAGAGACCTGTGTTTGTTTGAAAAATAGCCATCCTCTTGTCAGTCACCTCCGGTCTTTCTTTCTCAGTGCTAACCATCCCCGGAGTCCCCTCCTCCGACCTAGACTTTGTAAATAAACCGCTTTTCCCTCTCCCCATCTGCTGGCAAATCGGACTCTTTTGTACTGTGGGGTGGAGGAAAAAGTGTGGGAAGAAGGCAAAAAAGTTTCCATACCCAAGAACCTTAATGAGAGAAAAAAAAAAGACTTGCTATTCGGTAGGCCAATCAAGCATTCATTTTTCCCTCCCCCGCCCTTTTCTCCCATTTCCGTTTATCCTTAGGTCGGCTAGTCTGTTGTTGTTGGCGCTGCACAGCACTGGAAAAAAGGTCGGGAAGGAACTGACCAGATCTGCACAAGTAAGTAAGAAGCATATTAAAAAAGACCCATAGAGTGAAGGTAGCTGGTCGTGGGGGCGCAGAGGTTGTGGGCCCTGCTATTTTCTCCCCTTATCCCAATCTGCGCAATTCCAGTGAGGCGGTGTGTTTGGCCTAGCAGGGGAGAATAGATTTGGGAAGATCAGGGAGGTGGGAAAATGAGTCCAGGAAAAAACTGTAGGGAGGGACTAGAAAGGGTTGAGGTGATGGCAAGCAGAGATGGGAGTGGTGGGCCTGGGAAAGCACTGATTGAGTCAACAAAAACATCACAAGCAGAGACCTTTGTCCAGAGCACAGGTCCACTTACCATTTGACTTATTGTCTTCTTTCTTCCTATAACTGTGTTCAAGGAAAAATAAGAAGTTAAAAAGGAAAGAGGGGAAGAAAACAAAGAGTGGGAAAAGGAAGAATAAACACAAGATGAAACCCTGTCAGATTATTGAAGAGAAACCAGAAAATGAGAGTGAACCAAAGCTTGAAGAAGCGCCAAAGCCTGAGGAAAATCCAGAGGAGGAGAAAGAACCAGAGGAAGAAAATGCAGAGGAAACTTTTAGAGAAAGGCTGATTCAGTCTCTCCAGGAATTTAAAGAAGATATACACAACAGGCATCTTAACAGTGAAGATATGTACAGGGAAGTGAATGAGTTAGATGAGATAAGGAGAGTAAGAAACAAACTTATAGTGATGCGTTGGAAAGTTAATCGAAACCACCCTTATCTCTACTTAATGTAACAAACTCATTTTTCTTATATTAACATTGCCATTTTGCTTTTTTTGATTTTTAGTTTCCCGATATACTTTGTTCATTTTCTACTTTCAACTTGTTGCTAATAGTAGCTTTAGTGCTTTGCTTGTTCATTGTATTTTGAGCCAATCTGTAAGTCTCTGTCTTTTTAATAGGAGAGCTTATTTGTACAAAAGAGGTTCCTGATAGGATATAACATGAAAAAGGTTACTAAGTAGTATGTGAATTTCATATTTTTGAAAAGGAAGAGTACATATATATTTTACATATGTGCACAGAAAAAAGTGAAGTTTGGAGGACAGTTAGTTAATTGTGTAGGGCTATGAGTGATTTTTAAAACTCTGCTTATTGTATTTCCTTACTGCTATGATGTACATGCATTATCTTTAATAATAATAAAAGTATAATAACAAAAGAAATGTATTATAGCAAAAGAAGAAACAACATCACTTACTAGCTTATTTCTCAAGACACTGGGTCATTTAATATTGGTTGACAGAATTTTAGAAGCAAATATCAATACCAAAGAACCATGAAGCCACTTAGAGAACCTTTTCTAATATATTTTCTCATATCCAAAATAGAGATGTGAGCTGGATATGACTGTTTTTTTCCTTTTTGTCCCAGATAGGACTCTAACTAATAAGGGATTCCTTTCAACTATGTGAGAGAGAAGATAGTTCTCACCTCATATAGGCAATTCTAGTGGGAGCCACTTTTGTTTTCTTCCTGTTGTGCCTGTCAAACCTACATCCCCTGCCATGCATATTGGATATTCTTGCCCCTTCAATCAGATCCATCACCTTTCAGGCCTCAGCTACTATTGATTTGCTAGAATTCTCTAAAGCCCAACATATTTCTTTATAGCCCCAAGTGAAATGAGTTACTGGGTGACCTCTATAGACATGGGGAAAATGTTTAGCTCTTCAGTTTACATTACTCCTGGATCTACGTTCAGAAATTAATCCTTGCAGTGATTTGGTGGATGTATGGGGAGTATTTAGGATGCCGGTGATTGAACCTAGGTCAGCCACATCCAAGACAAACACCCTACCTTCTGTACTATGGCTCTGGCCTGCAATCAGTATTTTAATTTAAATTCCTACTGCTTATCCATATAGAAATCATATTTAACGGGCATAGGACCAGAAGACAATCTGAATAACAAGTTTACTTTTTGTCTGAAACTTTTACAGTTTTAGCTGCTTGTTTAATTTCTTACATGTGAGTGAACTCTCCCAGAAATCTAGTAGCCCCTCCTTAGTTCAACTCTAGTTCAACTACTCTCATTGTTATCTGGAAATAAGAAAGTATTCTACAACTTTATGCAAATCTATGTAACTGTACGTGTATTGATATGTGCATATATTCTCACAGTGATGGTAGTTGTCTAATTTTGTGTCCCTTATAATGTTTCTTTGGGGACAGTTCATTTTTCCAGACCATTCTTCAGTGTTAAGACAACTTTATGAATGCTGATTGGGTTGGATTCCAGGAATGAGTGAGAAGTGGGTGCGAGGTCTAACTGTCCCAGCTTTACAAAACAGGATGTATCCATCCCCTGGTACTCAAAAGAGTGGTGCCCAAAAAGGATGTGGAAGGGCTCATCCAAATCCCATTTTTCTTTAGGGATGTCTAACTGGTTTTTCTACCCCAGCATATAGCAGGTACAAAACCTTCCTGGGCTGCTGATGGCTGGGCTTCCCTGAGCAAACATTTATAGAAGAACAGTTACCCACATTACAGATCAGAGCACTACATTTCCTTTACTCCATTTTTTACCTTTCACAAGGTGGGTTGATGAAAAAAAATTTATAGGGAAGAAGACAAGACCTCAAAAGTTACTAAAAACATGTATTGTGATGGACTATTCCAGCCATAACTTCTCCATGTAATCCGATAACTTGGTGTTAGATGGTCTGTGGTAGTTGAAAATGATTTTTAGGCAGTTCACAAATATTTTTATCATATATTTATTGAATGTGAGTCGAAGAATACTGTCTAAGGAAATTTCGTTTGCCTAAATTTAGGGTGATATTATAGTTCTCTTTTAAGAAATTAAGTCAATTTGAAGACAAAATAGACTACATACATAAATAAAATATTTATATTTATATGCCTAGTCTATATATAGTCTATATAGACAAAAATAGAATATATATTGTCTGGGGCCACACATGGTAGTGCTCAGGGTTTTATTCCTGTCTGTGCACTCAGGGATCATTCCTGGTGGTCTCAAGAGACCATATGGAGAGCAGGGTATCAAATATAGCTCAACTGCATGCATGCATCCTATATTCTGTGCTATCACTCATAGTAATATATTACTCATAGTAATATTTTGGGTGGCAGGCACATGGTGTGGTAAAAAACACCTTAATGGTAAACTAATTAGAATAACTAAATAGGGGTAGAAAGTATTTGGAAACACCTGTTATTAATGGTGCAGTCTGAAATTTTACCCTACATGGTCCAAATTAATGTTCATTTTACTCTACATGTTAAAATTAATGTATCAAGGCTGGAGAGATAGTAGGGTGCTTGCCTTGCAAACACTTGATCCATATTTTATCTCCAGTACCCAGTATGGTAGCCCAGCCCCACCAGGAATTACACGTTAGTGCAAAGCCAGTAGTTACCTCTGAACATTGCCAGTTGTGGCCCCCAAAACTATAATAATGTTACAAATTAAAATGTTGGAGCTGGAGAAATAGTACAGAGGGTAGGGTGTTTGCCTTGCACACGGCCGGGCTAAGTTCAATCCCAGGTGTCACATATGATCCCATAAACTCCACCACGAGTAATTCCTAAGTGCAGAGCCAGGAGTAACCCCCGAGCATCACTGGGTGTGAACCAAAAACTCCCCCATAATCTCCCAGAATAAAATGTTAACCTGTTATTCCTTAATGGATACTTGCAGAAAACATTAGATGAGAAATCAAAGCCATTATGACAAAAGTAATAGCTAAAAGAGCCGGAGAGATAGTACAGGGGTTCAGGCACTTGCCTTTTGTGTGGCTGACTCCTATTTCAGGCACCACATATGATTCCCCAGAATTTCCAGTAGTGATTCCTGAGCACAGAGCCAGGCATAAACCCTAAGCAATGTTGGGTGGGAGACCCCAAAATAAACAAAAATAGTGGTCCAAGCTTCGTGATGTTTTACATCCACACTCCATGATCCTCAGGTCCCAAGGGATAATGCAGTGTCCATTCTGGATACCTGCACATATAGCGCTTTCATCTACAGGAAAGAAACCTTGAGTTTAGGGGATTCAGCAGTTTCATATCAGAAGCTAGCTTATTCTATCCAGGGAAAGATAGTAAATATTAACTCATTCTTCAACATTCACGATCACGACCACCCTGTTGTTCGTCGATTGCCTCGAGCAGGTGCCAGTAACGTCTTCTTCGTCCTAGCCCTGAGATTTTTTTTTTAAAGTGCCATATTCAAGGCTTTTTCAGGGTTAGGAGAATGAGACCCATCATTGTTACTGGTATTTGGCATATTGGGTATACCACGGGGAGTTTGCCAGACTCTGCCGTGTGGGCATGTTACATTTGGTAGCCTGCCAGTTTGACCGAATTAGGAATGAGATGATAAGATGTTGCGCGGCCGCAAATGCGGCTGCGCGCTTCCGGGAGCTGAGTGTGATAATCTCTGGATCCTGGCCGTTGTTGGAGTTACACGGCAGTTGGTGGGTGTAACTGTCTAGTTACTGGGAGGTCCAGTCCCAAACTGTACAGGCTTGGAGATCTCAGCCCCGGGTCCCACACACCTGGGTTCCTCTGTCAGTTCTTTTATGCGTGAGGCTCATCCAAGTGTGTGGAGAGTGCTCCCAGTATGGCCTTGGCTGGGCCTCGGTGGTCTTCAGCTGTTGGGCCCTGGTGGAGACAGTCAGGCATAGGGTAGGAGACTCTGTCTTGTTCTCTCCCAGGAGCTGAGTGTGATGATCTCTGGATCCTGGCCGTTGTTGGAGTTATACGGCAGTTGGTGGGTGTAACTGTCTAGTTACTGGCAGGTCCAGTCCCAAACTGTGCAGGCTTGGAGATCTCAGCCCCGGGTCCCACACACCTGGGTTCCTCTGTCAGTTCTTTTATGCGTGAGGCTCATCCAAGTGTGTGGAGAGTGCTCCCAGCATGGCCTTGGCTGGGCCTCGGTGGTCTTCAGCTGTTGGGCCCTGGTGGAGACAGTCAGGCATAGGGTAGGAGACTCTGTCTTGTTCTCTCCCAGGAGCTGAGTGAACACTGAAAGAACACTCATTCTTCAACATTACTTGCTACAAACACAGCACTGTGAAATGGCCTGCCTTTAGAAAAAGTAGTGTTATGTTTCAGGTATTTCCAGTAAGAATGCTGAATCCTGAGGTCGAATACTGATTGTGATGCTCAGGATCACAGTCAAATTGCTTCTCAAAAACAATTTTTCTTGTGAAATCGTGTGTGAAGAGCAAAGTTTTCCAACATTACAGGTTAAATAAGTCAGGTAATACCTTATACTATAAACTATAAGCAGAACATTTATAACTCCAGTTTTCATTTAAGCTCAAAGGATTTTGAATGAATCTTAACTGAAGAAGCAAAAAAGGCACATCAACAAATAAACTATAGAAAAACAGTCTACAGAAATATTAAAGTTATTTTAAGTCATGTATATAGACTTAGAATATATATACTGCATATATATATATAGCATATACCACCTACCATGATGTACAAAATACAACAAAATACATCAGAAGAAGTAGGGAATGAAAACTAAAGACTCATCAGGATGCTAATAACTGGAATAAACTTAGGAAATTTTTTACTGAAAAAATTGTCTGCGTTTGAAATGCAGCCCAAGTATTTTTTTATGGGGGGATGTGGAGAGAGGTGGTTGGTCTTCATGACACATCCAGTGCTTCTGGAGTGAGAACTAGCTCAGTGTGAATTGCTCCCAGTGGTGCTCTGAGGGCTATGCAGTTCCAGTGACAAAACCTGGGCCTCTCTTATGCAAAGTATGTGTTCAAGACCATTGAGCTATCTCTCTAGTCCAGTCCCAAGTCCTTCACACTTGTAGTCAACACTATTTCTATAAAAGAGGAAAAAAAAAACAAGGTGGTGTCAGGATTTGAACCTGGGCTTCTTACATGCAAAGCTCATGCTCCAATCCTTAAAGTCATCTACCTATCCCTTTTTCTTTTAAAATTCATTTCTCACTGGTTTACAATATTATGGGCTGGAGTGATAGCACAGTGGGTAGAGTGTTTACCTTGCACGCGGCCCACATGACTGACCTGAGTTTGATTCCTGCCCCTCTCAGAGAGCCCAGCAAGCTGCTGAGAGTATCTCG